CCACTGATCTCTTTGTTCTTCTTTCCAAAGTGCCCATGTTGACCAAATCTCCTTTTCCTGCTTTTCACTGTCAATTTGTCTCCTTCGTTGACTTATGGAGCCAGGTGGCCCAGTCTGTCTTGCTAGGTGACACTAGTAACCCCAGTAGCGTGAGGAATTCAGAGCCAGGCTACTGCCCCCAAAACCCTGAGCCCTGCTGGAGGAAGCACGTTTCTTTGCTAAAAATTAAACATCCTCTTTGTGACCCACAAGAAAACAGGACATAGGAAGGCATCCAACAGGATGAACATGGCCCCCGATGCCTGGCACCCCCTCCTCGCTCGTGGAGCAGTGGCCTGCTGGAACCCTTCCTTCCTCACACTTGTTTACTGTAGCATGGGAGCCAGCTTCCCATCACACCACCAGACTCTCTTGAGCTCCACTGAGGACACTGTGGCTTTACCTTTTCATTTAATGTAACATTTGTTTCTTTCGTGGTGATAGGGCTCCGCTGAGAACCTCGGTCCTAGACCCTCACACACACGGGCAAGGGCTCGACCACTGAGCTGCATCTCCAGCTGTCCCTCCGTCCTTGCCTCTCAGGTACCTTGCGTGGTTGTTGCTACACAACAGGGCCCCATCACAGCCCTATCCAGGGAACTCAAAAAAAAAATCTCCTTCAGGAATCTGTCTCTTCATAGGACCTCTCAAGAATCAGAGTCTGGGACGCAAAAACCACTAGCCACACAAGTGAGATGACCCAAGATCGATCTCCAAAACTCATGTCAAAAGCTGCATGCAGTGCTGTTCATCTGGTATCCCCACATAGTGCAACAGGAGAATAGCCCAGAAGTTAGCACGCCAGCTTCCTGGGCTACAGAGAACGGCAGCAAGAGGACCTACCTCGACAACGTGAAAGGCAGGAACAAATTCCCGAAAGATGTCCTCTGACCTCCAGACAAGCACCATAGAAATGTGTGCATGTACACACACACACACACACACACACACACTTTTTTTTCTGAGACAGGACTTTTCTTTGTAGCCTTGCCTGGCCTGGAAAGCACTCTGTAGACCAGGCTGGCCTCAAACCTCAAATTCACAGAGATCCTCTTGCCTCTGCCTCCTGAGTGCAGAGATTAAAGGTGTGCACCACCAAGCCCTGCCTTAAAAAAAAATATTAATCCAGAAAGCCAGGCTGGGGATGCAGCTCAAAGGTAGGCTGTTTACCTTATTTGCATAAGACCCCACCTGGGTGGGGGAACGAAAACAGAACATACTGAGAAGAAAATGAAGGAATAAAGCCACAAGAGGATAGTTTCAATAAACAGCTGTGAGCAGGCCCTGTTTTAGGCAGTGGGAGGCAGCAGAGAACATCACTAAAGGAACCTCCCTCCACCTGATGAACCTCGCATTCAAAGGCACAAAGAGTCCATCTTTCAGTTCTCTGAATACTCTCCAAACTCCTTCCCACTCCGCTTTCTGCATCTGTTGCTCCCTCTTCCTGCAATGCACTTCCTCCAGATATTCCCAGAGTGTGCCCTTCTGCGGGTCTTAGCTCGGGAGTCACCTTCTCAGAGAAGCCTTACCCAGCAGCTGACTGTTTATCTAAAATAATGACGCTGCTCTGTACCACGGTACAAACTACAGTCCAAGCTCCTCTTAAGGCTGAGGCAGAAAAATGGACTGAACCCACCAGGTGCAGGGCACCAGCTCAAGATCTCATCTAGAAAGGAAGAAAAGGCGCAGGGTGGTGGTGGCACACTCCTTTAATCCCAGCACTTGGGAGGCAGAGCCAGGCAGATCTCTGTGAGTTTGAGGCCAGCCTGGGCTACCGAGTGAGTTCCAGGACAGGCGCCAAAACTACACAAAGAAACCCTGTCTCGAAAAAGAAAGGAAGGAAAGGCAATGTAATCCTTTCTTCACTGCCTGTTCTTTTCATCCTCCTGAATCACCCACCACCTGACAAAGCATCATACATTTGCTGGGTATCAAATGTTACACTTGTTATCTCAACACTTGGGAGACTAAGGCGGGAGGACAGAGCCTCAAGGACAGCCTGGGCTGTATAGCAAGACCCTATCTCAAAAATAAAATAAAACAGTTTGTATCTATTTGTTTAGTAGCATATCTGTATTTAATGCAGTTACTTTACTAAATGTACAGAAACAGTACCATACAAATAGTATTATCAAATACATTGTGTATGTGTAGAATAATACCTAGGTTTTATACACAATACAAAATATATAAAATATTTACTATTATATATTTTTATTTACATGTGACCTATTTTTACTGTTTAACACTATGTAATTTAAAATTACACATCACTGTACTTTTTTTTTTTTTTTTTTGGTTTTTCGAGACAGGGTTTCTTTGTGTAGCTTTGCTCCTGTCCTGGAACTTGCTTGGTAGCCCAGGCTGGCCTCAAACTCACAGAGATCTGCCTGGCTCTGCCTCCCAAGTGCTGGGATTAAGGCGTGCACCACCACCACCCGGCTTCATCACTGTATTTTTATACACTCTTATACATGTATGTTAAATTACGTATGTTTAGACACTTCCCATAATATGTATCCTTTCCTTGCCTCAGTCTCCTCTTTGTAAGTTAAGGATAATTAGGTCCTGTGTTGTAAGAATTAAATTGAATGGGGGGGGGGAATTTAGTAGCATATCTGTATTCAGGAGGCTGAAGAGATGGCTCAGCTATTAAGAACACTTTTTGGTCTTCCAGAGGACCCTGGTTTGATTCTCTGCACCCACAAAGCAGCTCACAGTCATCAGAAACTCCAGTCCCAGGGGATCCAATGCCCTCTTCTGACCTCAGAAGTAACCAAGCATGCAAGTGATTCACATACATCCATGCAGGCAAAACATGCACACACATAAAATAAATCTAAAAATAACATTTTAAGAATTCAGCAGTACACTGGAAACAACTTTATAGGTTTTCACAAGTGAGCTAGTTCAATTTTCAGGGATTTTGTAAACTGATTGCTAAATAGCTATTGTTAAAAAGAAAACAATGGGGCTGGACAGATAGCTCCATGGTTAAGAACATTTGTTGCTCTTGCAGAAGAGCGGGTTCAGTTCCCTGCACCCACATGATGGCTCACAATCATCCATAACTCTACTTCCAGGATCTGACACCTGACTTCCTTGGGCAGCAGGCATGAGTGTTTTCTTCACATACATGCAGACAAAACACTTATACACACAAAATGAAAATAAATTAATCTTTAAAAAACCAAAATACTGATTAACCTCAGCATTCAGGGGGCAGAGGCAGGTGGATCTCTGTGAATTTGAGGCCAGCCTGGTCTACGTAGTGAGTTCCAGGACAGCCAGGACTACATAATGAGACCTTGTCTTAAGGAAATAAAATAGGAAATACTGAACAGTGTGTGAGGGGTGGGGGAGCAGCTCAAACTTCCGCATTTGGAAGATGGGGAGTGGTTCAGGAGTCGGAGGCCAGCTTGACCTACACTGAAACCAAGGCGAGAGACAGAAAGAGACAGGGAGAGACAGAAAAGAAAATATAATACTGCGAACTTAACAATGAAGTGGATTGGATTTTTAAAGGTAATAGAGCCAGGCGGTGGTGGCGCACGCCTTTAATCCCAACACTCGGGAGGTAGAACCAGGCGGATCTCTGTGAGTTCGAGGCCAGCCTGGGCTACAGAGTGAGTTCCAGGAAAGGCTCCAAAGCTACACAGAGAAACCCTGTCTCGAAAAACCAAAATAATAATAATAATAATAATAATAATAATAATAATAATAATAATAAATAAAGGTAATAGATATTTAAAACTTATCACTTCTTAATTATCTTACTGTATTTCGTTCATTTTCTATGCTTTTGAAGCCATTTCTCCCATTATACGGTCCAGTTAATACATAATGTGTTCAGACTACACATGGGTGACTTAAAATCTGACCAGATGATGGATAATACATAAACCATGGAAACTAACAACTGCTACAAACAGACCCAACTCCCTACCCTGCCAAAAGCCCGTTAACCATTTACCAGCACATCACTGACAGCACTTAGTGCCTAATACACGGAAAATGCTGTTTATCTTTTGCACTAGGTCATGACATATGAGCAAACACACACTAATATATGCACATACACATATGCTTTACACTTTTTTTTTTTTTTTTTGGTTTTTCGAGACAGGGTTTCTCTGTGTAGCTTTGCACCTTTCCTGGAACTCGCTTTGGAGACCAGGCTGGCCTCGAACTCATAGAGATCCACCTGCTTCTGCCTCCCGAGTGCTGGGATTAAAGGTGTGTGCCACCACCGCCTGACATGCTTTAAACTTTTATTCATACTTACTTATTAATTGATTTCTCTATTTGGGGAGGGGGCACGTGTCACAGTGTGCATGTAGGGGTGGGAGTGCGGTGAATCGAACTCAGGTGGTCAGATTTGGCAGCAAGAGCCTTTACCCAGTGTGCTGTGTCACACATTCATAGATAGGCTTTTTAGTAGTGCGTGGGGGTTAAAATGTTCCCCAAAAAACTGGAAAGTATATAATTAGGAAAGGATGTACATACATCTTTCTAACTCTCCAATTAACACTGTGAATCTTTTTTTTTTTAAGAAAAAAATTTTTTTTTCAAACACCGTGAATCTTCATCGGTGATTATCTCCATTTTTCAGATGGGGAACCTAAAGTTCTCAGATGGCAAAATTGAAAGCACTGCAATCAACCAGTACAAGTAGGATTCAAAATTGCACGCGGTAGCTTCTCCTTTAGCGTACTTTCGCAACAAGCTTTCCTGCGCCGCCTAGTGACGCGCCACCACCTTGCGTAATTTCCCTTCCCGCCAGACTTAAAGAGAATAGGCGTGGTCATGTCGCTGAATTCTGGGAAATGTAGTACATAGGCTCGATGACCACCAGGATATAAAAAGAGGCGGCTAAGTAAGTTATCTTGGCCTCGTTTATCTTGCTTTTTTGTGCGAGTGCGTGGAGCGGGGTGGGGGGTTCCCAGCCAAGGTCTCTCTATATAGGCCAGATAAACCGAGAACTCGCAATCTTGCTGCCTCGCCTTCCTGAGGGCGGCAATACGACCTTGGCCTTGAAACAAAGAACAAAGAGCGGGTTCAGTTGCCTTGCAACATTATTGGCTAATCAATGTCAGTTGCATTCTGGGAATAGAAGTTCCTATGGCCCGGATATGTCGACAAATGATGACGAGACTAACGTCATACGTTCTGCTCTGGTCTGGACCTCCGTGGAGCTTAACTGTTTCACAATGCAAAGTTTGCCACGTTGCGACAACCTCTAGGTATGTGCAACAGGCCTTCGGGTCAACTCCGAACACCAACTGAAGTCCTACCTTTTCTCACCGGTTTGCACAATCTTCTTGAAGCTGGTGATCCAGCCTCCCACCCTATCCAAGAGCTAAAGTAGGTCCTGGGGCACCGAGGACAAACTAGGACCAAGACTGTAGGCATGCTTACCCTGTTGGGATGGAGGGGGTTCATTCTCGATGTTGCAACTGCATAGTTCAGTCAAGCCCTGGGAAGTTTACCTAGAGCAGGAAACTAGAATGCTGGGTGAACTCAAGGGGGTGCAACATGTAGCTACACAACTGATCTACTAACCACTGGACCACCTTGAGGGATATCTGGTGATCCTGATAGGGTGATGATCAATGAGGTCATGAAGATTGACTTGGGGCTGTTAATAGAAGTTGAGTCTTTAAGGTATTAGACGTGCAGTGCTGTGTCCACCAGAAAATTAATGAAGGCTGATGATATTTTAGTTGAGTTGTTCATGGAGGCCGATAGAGTGCACTCACTGGTTAACTAATGAAGGAATCCCTAATGAGAGTGTGACTCCTGAGAGTTCTGGATAGTCAGCAGTCTACATAATAATAACTGATGGTGAGGTTATGGAGAGAATAACAGAGATGGGTAGGCAGAGTAATAAAGGGCCTCGTGGGGGGAGTAAAGAAAGAAAAAACAGAAGCTGTGTGAGCATGCAGGGTAATGTGTGTATTGATGAAAAGGATACTGAGGGCCACTAACTAGTGTGATCTTTGAGAGGTTGGTTGGAGAGCTGAGTTAATGGAGCTAATAAATGCGAATGATAGAGACCTAACAGGTCATGATTCTGTAGGCATTACTGGAGATTAAGGTGGTGGTAATTAATGGCTGGAGGCCTGATCTTTTAAGGGATTGATGGACTGCAGAGTGGAGAGAGAGATTAGGCTGTGGGAGGTGGAATAAGGTTGTGTCAAGGTATTAGGTGTGAAAAGCATGGGATTAATGGGGGGAAGTAGGGTTCTGTGAATCTAGAGCTACTGGAAATATCTAGATGCTCGGGTGTTAATAGAGATGAAATGAGCAGAGAAAATAGTTGAGAGAAAGAGAGAGAGGTTACTTGTGTAGCGTGTCAGTAGGAGGTGGGCAGGGTCAGTAGTAGGTCATTAACTGTGGAGTCTGTGGTACCCACAGTGATGGGAGCCTGTCAGGGCTTCAGTCTCCGTGTGTTGAATGAACTGTCAGGTGGGTCACATGAACTCAATTAAGTGGACTTTGTTTTCTCTGCCCTGTGCAGGTAGGCGTTATCCTATTACCTACCCTGTTTACTCCTACAGGACAGCGTCAGCTCACTGCCTACCAGCAGAGTGAGATGGGACGGACGTCAAAGGATAAACGGGATGTCTACTACCGCCTGGCCAAGGAGAATGGCTGGCGGGCCCGGAGTGCCTTCAAGCTACTTCAACTGGATGAGGAATTCCAACTCTTCCAAGGTGCCTAACTTGGTGGCCAAGTGACCTGGGAGTGAAGAGAAGGCCGCTTTTCTGCAGAGCTCACTTTCTCAGGTGAGAAAGGTCTATGCAGCTGACAAAATATGTCTTCACTGTGTATGCGCAGGTGTGAAACGAGCAGTTGACCTGTGTGCAGCCCCAGGCAGCTGGAGCCAGGTGCTGAGCCAGAAGGTTAGGTGAGTGGAGGTCTGGGAGGGTAAAGCGGTGGGAAGCAGGAGGGGCTGGGGGTAAAGAGTGTGCTGACATGGACCGTGCTGTCCACAGGGGCCAGAGTTCCGGTCAGGTGGTGGCTGTGGACTTGCAGGCTATGGCTCCGCTCGCAGGCGTGATACAGATACAGGGGGACATCACTCAGGTGAGCACATGACAGAGTATCGGGGTTATCCTGGGAGAAGGCTCTACTTGGGGGCTATGGAAACTGGAAGAGAAGCAAGGCAATGCAAACAGTGGAAGTAATATGTAATCCTCGGATGTAGAAGGCTGAGGCTGAGGGGTAATAAATACAAAGCTAGCCTGAGTTCTATAATGAGACTGTAGCTCAGAATGAAAAAGAGAGAGGACTGCAAGGTGGCTTCAGTAGGTAAGGATGCTTGCCGACAAACCAGATGACCAAGTTCAATCCTGAAAGTTGTCCTCTGACCTCCGTGTGCACACAGTTGCACATGGATCTAAACTTTACACACACAATAAATGAATAAATAAATGCAGTTTTTAAAATATTTTAGGGGCTGAAGAGATGGATGGTTCAGCAGTCAAGAGCACTGGTTGCTCTTGCAAAGGACCCAGGTTCAATTCCCAGCACCCACACAATGGCTCACAACTGTCTGTAACTCCAGTCCCAGAGATTGTCATGCCATCTTCTGGCCTGCCCGGCACCAGACATACATGTGGGGCACAAACATACATACAGGCAAAACACCTATATACATTTTTAAAAAAGAAAAAGGAGCCAGGAGGTGGTGGTGCACACCTTTAATCCCAGCACTCGGGAGGCAGAGACAGGTGGATCTCTGTAAGTTCGAGGCCAGCCTGGTCTACAGAGTGAGTTCCAGGAAAGGCGCAAAGCTACACAGAGAAACCCTGTCTCGAAAAACCAAAAAAAAGAAAAAGAAAAAAAGAAAAGAAAAAGGAAGGGAGAGGAAAATAAAAATATTTTTAATGAGTTGATTAGTTTTTTTTATTATTTGTCGTGTGTATATATGTGGGTGCTTGTGTGCTATGGTGTGCATATAGAGGTCAGAGGACAGCTTGGAGGAGTCAGTTCTGCCCTTCCGTTATGTGAGTTCTAGGGATGGAACTCTGGGTCACCACACCTGGCAGCAAGGACCTTTACCTGCTAAGCCATTTCACCAGTCCCTTAAAATTATTTTAAATAAAAAAGAAAGAGGAGCCAGGCAGTGGTGGCACACGCCTTTAATCCCAGCACTCAGGAGGCAGAGCCAGGCAGATCTCTGTGAGTTCGAGGCCAGTCTGGTCTACAGAGCCAGATCCAGGAAAGGCGCAAAACTACACAGAGAAACCCTGTCTCGAAAAACAAAAACAAAAACAAAAAAAAGAAGAAAGAAGAAAGGAAAGGAAAAGAAAGAGGAGGGAGATTGGAGATGTAGCTTAGCACTAGAACACTTGTATAACATGAGCAAAGCATACTGGGTTCTATCCCTGTATGAGAGACAAACTGAGAAAGACAGATTAACAGCAGACAGCTAGTAGATCGTATTGCAGAGACACCAAAAGATGGTGAGGATGGGTCACTAGAGATGGAACCTGGTCTTGGGCAGGCAAAGCCTAAGAACATGGCCATCTCAGAGTCTTTGAGGCTAGGGCTGTGGGCAGGTGGGATTTGAGGGTGAGGGCAGCAGAGGGGCACCAAGGCCACTCATCCCCCTTTCTCTATAGCTTTCCACTGCCAAGGAGATCATCAAGCACTTTGAGGGCTGCCCTGCCGACCTAGTAGTGTGCGACGGGGCTCCTGATGGTAAACGGGGTGTGGGGTGACCTCTGTCTCCTGGCTTGGTTTTTTTCTCCCTCTCCCCCTCTGCTTTCACCATTTCCTCCTTTCTGTCAGTGTCTCCCTACCTCTGCTCCCTGCTCTCATTCTCCAGCTTTCTTCTCACTGCCTTTCAAGTTTTTTTTTTTTTTTAACTATTTCATGGTGATGGAAATGGAGGGACTCTCATGTATGCTAGACAAGTGTTCTGCCCGCCTCGAAGGCATACCTCCTGCCCTCCAGCTTTGTGCTTTTTGTCCACCCTTCTGCCTTTTCGTAGGACTGCCTGTCCCATCCTGTGTTCTTTGTTTTCAGCCAGCTGTCTATTCAAATCATTTTCTAAGCACGTGTTGTGTTGGGAAAGTGCACATAAATAAATTCCACTGACCTCTGGCCTTGTGAAGTCAATGTTTTGGTGGGAATACATAGAAAAGAGCCAGTTGAGCTGGGGCCTCAGTGCCTCTAATTCCAGCTCTTAGGAGACTGAGGCAGGAAGATCACTAGAGTTCAAGGTCAGCCTGGACTAGAGAGGCCCTGTCTCAAAAACTAAAAGTAGGGGGGTGGGGGGCTGGCTTAGTGGTTAAGAATTCGAGCTGCTCTTCCAGGGACCCCATCCATGCCTAGTGCCTCACAACTTCCTGTAACTTCAGCTCCAGGGGGTCTGACACCCTCTCCTGGCCTCCATGGGCACACACATGTGACAGACACAAACACAGACACACATCCACATCCACATAAATTTTAAAAAGTTAAGTTTTAGAAATATATGAAACTAATAGCAATTTATAATTTTTAATATCCAGATAATTAGATAAACTAAAAATGGTCATAGGTACTGTAGGGAAGTCACTGAAACAGGCCAAGGAAGTAAAAACTACCTGTTGGGATTTTAAATAAAGTAGACAAGAAAGGCTCCATTGACAGCCAGGAGAGTTGATAGGGCACGTGCTGATGGGCCGTCAGTTACGGTCTTGCTCTTCATACTGAGAACCTGGAGCAAACCCTGAGGGTTGTGGACCAAGAAAGCCTGCCTGGCTGGGATGATGATTGTACGTACCCCTCAGGCCACTTAAGCAGTGTGAGGGGCAGAGGTGAAAGCAGGGACACCAGGAGGCGCTGGACACTGCAGTACTGCGAAGGAGTGAAGGATTCCAGTGACGGGCGAGGAGAGTCACATTTGGAAAATAGAGCTGGCTGGATTTGCTAACGTCTGGCATGTGAGAGTGATGGGGGCCAGAGCTGGTCACAGGGACTAAGGTTTTTGACACGAACAACTGGAAGGATCAGAGGAGCTGGTAGAGGAGGAAGAGTAGTAGAAAATTGGCTTTGGACTTGTTGAGCCTGTGAGGCCAATCTAAATAAAGCTCAAAGGAGCCATCTGGGCTGGAGGTCGAAATGCTAGTACTGCTTGTGGGACAAGTAGTTTCCAGAATTGGAATGACTTCCCAGGTGCCAGGGGTCAGAGTTCAAATCCAGTTGGAAGGCAGTACTCTGTTTTCAGAACCTTCGCAATAAGAAGGCCTGAAAGAAATGTCTGTAGTTTTCTAATCTCTGGTACAAGAAGATATATCAAATCAGAAGGTCCCCGAACGCTGTTCCTCTCTCTACAGTCACTGGCCTCCATGATGTCGATGAGTACATGCAGGCCCAGCTTCTGCTAGCTGTGAGTAAACCTGGTGGCCGCCCCTGCTCCCCTTTAGCCCTCTCTTGGCTGCCTCTGCCTCAGCCTCCACTGTACCCCTCTGTCCTTCCCACAGGCTCTCAACATTGCTACGCATGTCTTGAAGCTAGGGGGCTGCTTTGTAGCCAAGGTGAGCCTTGGGGGACCTGGGGAGTGTTGAGAAAGGTTCCTGAGAGGGGAGCACCTTTACCTCTCCATCTTGCCTCCCATACCCGACAGATATTCCGAGGCCGGGATGTAACTCTTCTCTACAGCCAGCTTCGTGTCTTCTTCTCCAGTGTGCTGTGTGCCAAGCCCAAGAGCAGCCGGAACTCCAGCATTGGTCAGTGGCCTGCAGGCCTGCCTCATAGGCAAGGGGGTGACTGGCATGTGTTCACGGAAGGTTGAGGTGACAGAGAGTCACCTCTCACTTCAGATTCTCCCCACAGAGGCCTTTGCTGTTTGTCGGGGTTATGACCCTCCTGAGGGCTTCATTCCAGACCTGACCAGACCCCTGCTGGACCACTCGTACGGTGAGAGCCAGAGCTGGTGGCCCCATGCCTGAGGAAACTGCACTACCCACATGCACCTAATATCTCTTGAGGGCCCTCAGCCTCCCACCCTGATGGCAGTTCTACCCGCTTAGGGATATTTTGTACTAAAGGGAGCTTCAGTTCAGATAGTCCTCCAGTGGTAGCTCTTGGTCCTGGTGGAAATTCTGTTGCAGCAAACTCCTAAGCATTCACCCAGGGAAGATCCTACCTGTCTATCTTAGGAAAACTCTCAGTCACTGCCCTCAGGTGGAAACCTCGCCTGTGTTAAACATGTTCCCTGTCCAGATCCGTAGCCTTGCCCCTGATGGGCAAAGGCAGATCCCATTTGAGTGAGACAAGGTCCTGATAGGATGTGCTGGTAAAATGCTGGGTGGGCATAGTACAGTGAAAAGCCAGACCAAGGGCTCAGACAAGCCCCTATGAAGGTGATCTACACTAGAGGGCTAGTTGATGATGGACCAGTGGGGGGGGGCGCTGAATGCTCCTGTAGCCTGTGTCATAACTGGCCTTGCCCTGAGTCTTCACTCTGCCTCTTCTTAAGACTTAGATTTCAACCAGCTGGATGGTCCCACCCGTATTATTGTGCCCTTTGTGACCTGTGGGGACCTCAGCGCCTACGATTCGGATCGCAGTTACCCTCTGGATGTGAGTGTCCAATCATCAGGACATGGGTCAGGGAGACTGTCTCGGATTCTCATCTCATCATCTCCCTGCCTCTTGTGTCCCACAGCTAGAAGATGGCTCCGAGTACAAATATACTCCGCCCACACAGCCCCCCATCTCACCCCCATACCAGGAGGCCTGCAAGTTGAAGAAGAATGGACAGCTGGCCAAGGAGGTCCTCCCCCAAGACTGCTCCATCAACAGAATAGACAAGTTGCCCCAGCCTCTGACTGTTCCTCATTGTCTTACTCTGCTAGCCCCCAAGGTATGGATATTCACTTCTGAGCCTGCCATGACCCCTTCCCAATATGCATGTTTCTGTCCTGCCTCACATGGTTCTTTCCTGCCTTGCAACAACTGTAAGAATCAGTAGGTCAGCCCACTGGCAAATGGGAAAATGTAACCAAATAACTGAGTCCCTTTTCTTTTTCTTCGGCAGGTGGAAGACAATGAAATGAATTGTTCATCTTAACACGTTAAGGTAAATTTGCCTTTTTTTTTTCCCTGAAGTTCAAATAAAGGGCACCTTTAAGAAAAAGCTGGCCGAGCGGTGGTGGCGCACGCCTTTAATCCCAGCACTCGGGAGGCAGAGCCAGGCGGATCTTTGTGAGTTCGAGGCCAGCCTGGACTACCAAGTGAGTTCCAGGAAAGGCGCAAAGCTACACAGAGAAACCCTGTCTTGAAAAACCAAAAAAAAAAAAAAAAAAAAGAAAAAGCTGAATGGGGACTGCAAGCTGGCTCAGTAGTTAAGAGTAAGAGTAGGCACTGCTCTTGCAGAAGATCTGAGTTTCATTCCCAGCACCCATGTCTGGCAGCTCACAACTGCCTGTGACTCCACCTCCATGGCACTGGACATATCTCGCCTCCCTGGGCACCTACATTCACAAGCACATACCCAGGACACACATACACAATTAAAAATAATAAAAATATTTGGGCATGGTGGCACTCACCTTTAGTCCCAGCACTTTGAGGGGTGGACAGGAAGTAGGCAGGTCTCTACAAGTTTGAGGCTAGCCTGGTCTGAACAGTTCGAGGCCAGCCAAGGATACATAATGAGACCTTATCTTTAAAAATCCTTCAGTGGGTTGGAGATGGAGCAAAGGTTCAATCTCAAAAAAACAGGCAGGCCAGGCAGTGGTGGCGCACGCCTTTAGTCCCAGCACTTGGGAGGCAGAGCCAGGCGAATCTCTGTGAGTTCGAGGCCAGCCTGGTCTATAGAGAAAACCTGTCTCAAAAAAAATAAAAGGCCTAGGAGTGCAAGACAAGGATCAGAATGTCCTCAGATACATAGCAGGTTTGAAACCAGCTTGAGCTACATGAAAACCTGTCTCAAAAGATGGAAGACCTCAGTAAATTTTTACTTTAAAGAAAATTTTGTTTTCCCGAGACAGGGTTTCTCTGTGTAGTTTTGGAGCTGGTTCTGGAACTCACTCTGTAGCCCAGGCTGGCCTTGAACTCACAGAGATCTGCCTGGCTCTGCCTCCTGAGTGCTGGGATTAAAGGCGTGCGCCACCACCGCCACCTGGCTTGTTTGTTTGTTTGTTTTCTCTAATTTTTTTAAATTGAAACACAGGGATTAGAGAGATTACTCAGTGGTTAGGAGCACTTGTTGTCCATTCAGAGGACCAGGGTTTAGTACCCAGCACCCATATGGCAGCTAACAACCATCTGTAACTCCAGTTCCAGGGGATCTGATAGCCTCCATGTTTCTTCTGGCCTCCATATTTACCAAACATGCACGTAAGCCATTTACATACATGCAGGCAGGCAAAACAGTCATACACATAAAATGAAAATAAATCTCCTTTAAAAAAAAAATTGAGCCGGGCGGTGGTGGCGCACGCCTTTAATCCCAGCACTCGGGAGGCAGAGCCAGGCGGATCTCTGAGTTTGAGGCCAGTCTGGGCTACCAAGTGAGTTCCAGGAAAGGCGCAAAGCTACACAGAGAAACCCTGTCTCGAAAAACCAAAAAAAATAAATAAATAAAATAAAAAAAATTGAGACAGGCCAGGCATGGTGACATAGGCCTTTAATCCCAGCACACGAAAGGGAGTCCAATCTAGGCTACATAGTGAGACCCTGTCTTAATAAAAACACAAAAACACAAAACACCAAACCAGGCAGTGGTGGTGCACACATTTAATCTCAGCACTCGGGAGGCAGAGGCAGATGTATCTCTGTGAGTTTGATGTCAGCCTGGGCTACAGAGCGAGTTCCAGGACAGCCAGGGCTACACAGAGAAACCCTGTCTCAAACAAAACAAAACAACAATAACAAAAATGGAAACAGTGCTGGGGTACGGGTCAGTGATAGGGATTGCCTGGCATATATGAGACCCTGGGTTGCTGGCTTTAAAGATGTGCACTACCATACTCGGCCCCAATTACATGTCTAAGAAATTAGTACTAGGGCTGGAGATGGCTCAGAGGTTAAGAGCACTGGCTCCTCTTCCAGAGGTCCTGAGTTCATTAACCCAGCAACCACATGGTAGCTCACAACCTTCTGTAATGAGATCTGGTGCCCTCTTCTGGCCAGCAGGGATACATGCTGTATACATAATAAATAAATAACTCTTTAAAAAAAAAAAAAAAGAGCCGGGCGGTGGTGGCGCACGCCTTTAACCCCAGCACTCGGGAAGCAGAGTCAGGTGGATATCTGTGAGTTCGAGGCCAGCCTGGACTACCAAAAGAGTTCCAGGAAAGGCGCAAAGCTACACAGAGAAACCCTGTCTCAAAAAAAGGAAAAAAAAAAAAAAGAAAAGAAAAAGAAAACTAGTTCTAGGGCTGGTGAGATGGCTAAGCCTGAGAAGCAGAGTTAAACCCTCGTAACCCACAGGATAGAAGGAAAGAATTGACTCTCACACATTGTTACCTCCATGGTGTGCTTCCACACACATATACACACAATAGTAAATGCAAATTTTTATTTTTATTTTTATTTTTTTATTTTTTTTATTTTTTTTTTTGGCTTTTGAGACAAGGTTTCTCTGTAGCTTTGGAGCCTGTCCTGGAACTCGCTCTGTAGACCAGGCTGTCCTGGAACTCACAGAGATCCGCCTGCCTCTGCCTCCCGAGTGCTGGGATTAAAGGGGTGTGCCACCACCATGTCCAGTCCCCCCAAAAAATATTTTTTAGAGAAATTAGTTCTCGACCGTTTGTAGCAGCCCTGTTAACTCATAGACTGTTCACAGTGGGCAGCTTCATAGCAGTCGGAATGAAATAGCACTTTGTAGTTAATCCTGACAGACTTTTTTATGCATTGTCCTTTATGTTAGGATTTGCAGTAAAACTCAAAGTAATACAACTCAGAAGCTGCTGCCTGTCAGAAAAACCAGAAGCTGGCTTGAGGAGTTTGCTAGAGTGGGGACCTGCAACAACTCCATGACGACAAAGAACCCGAGGAAGTCTGCGGAGCTGCAGTAGGAATTTCTGGAGACTGAGCACACGCCTCTTCTTTCAGCCTCTCCTGGGGTGTCCTGAATAGGTTCAGGATTTCCTCCCCCCGAAAAGCGGGGGTTCTTACCATGGATAACCATCAGGGACCTCCACCAACTTGATGGAGGAAAATGTTACACCTTCTTCACTCTAACTGAAGTTCAGCTTTATTTATTCCCAGTCAGTGAACATTGGCAACCAATCAACAGTAAAAGCCCTACCTATGCAAGTCCCTTACTTTTTATGATACAGTTCATAGGCATCTGAAATACTGCTCGTATTTCTCGCTGCTTTGGATAATAGCAGATTTTATAAATCAGTCCTATAATTAAACATCCCATCTATTACTGCATCCCAATTTTTCCTGATTGGTTGGTCAGGTATTTTTAAGACAGTATCTTCCTATATAGCCTAGACTGCCCTCAAACTCAAGATCCTCCTGCATCTGTCCCCTGAGTGCTGAGATTACAGGCCTGTGCCACCAAACCTGGCTGCTGTATCCCAGTTTTATTTCAATTAAATAGACGGTGATAACTGTATTTCAGTGTAATTGGCTTTCATCATTATTCATATGCATTTGTAGACATATGCAGATGTGCTTTTGAACACTTCTTGTGATGGGCTGAGGATGTAGCTCAGTGATAGAGTGTGGGCCTCGTATGCACGAGGCCCTGGATTCTGTCTCCACTACCACACACACAAAAAGAAATTCTGGCCGGGCGGCGGTGGTGGCGCACGCCTTTAATCCCAGCACTCGGGAGGCAGAGCCAGGCGGATCTCTGTGAGTTCGAGGCCAGCCTGGGCTACCAAGTGAGTCCCAGGAAAGGCGCAAAGCTGCACAGAGAAACCCTGTCTCGAAAAACCAAAAAAAAAAAAAAAAAAAAAAGAAATTCTGTTAGCTGGGTGACATGCTACCACCACCTGTAGTCCTACCTACTCAGGTCCCCAAAATACGAACATTCAAGCCCAGAAGTTCAAGGTCAACCTGGGCAAGATAGCTAGGCCACATTTCAAAAAGATACCTATAATCCCAGAATGTGGAAGACTGAGGGGGTTGTGAGTTCGAGGCCAGCTTGGGATGCATAGTGAGACCCTGGTTCAAAAAAACAAAGACAAAAAAATCTATGAAAGAGTCCAGAGGTATAAGCAAGTTTCCAAAGGATTTCTCAAACAATTTTTGTTGTTTTGTTTTTTGAAAAACGGTCTCATGCAGACGGTAGTGGTGCATGCCTTTAATTCCAGCCCTTGGGAGGCAGAAGCAGGCGGATCTCTGAGTTCGAGGCCAGCCTGGTCTACAGAGCGAGTTCCAGGACAGCCAAGGCTACACAGAGAAACCCTGTAGCCAAGGCTGACCTCAAACTTGCTGTATACCCAAGGATGACCTTGAAATACTGATCCTCCTGACTACCTCCTAAGTACTGGCCTTAAAGGCATGTTTCACCATGCCTAATTTTACTGGAACAAGTTTCAGGTTGAGAGTCTTTCCTTTGCCCTTAGCTAACATGTACAAGTCCTTGAATTGTATCCCACAAGAGGGTATGGGAGGGAGACCTGTTTTCTAAAGAAGTGTCCGAAAGTCTTCCTTGACTGCGGTCCTGAATTTCTACAGCCCAACAGGCAGGAGCTGACGTGAGCTCCCTAAGCTGTGTGGTACCATCTTCAGTGGTTCAGTCCTGTGTCTTTCCAAGCCCACGGCCATTGGTGCAGCTGCACTTTAGTCTGACCGCAGGAATAGCCGCCACACCTCTCTGTGTGATTCCAGGAATGCCTGCACCCCACTCTGTCTAGAGGTGTTCACTCCACAGTGATTTAATCCACGATGAGTCTTCTCATTCAAATCACTGTGACCACAGGAATGTCCACAACCCAAGCTCTCAGACTCCAGGAATGCATGGCAGGAGTGTCCACACAAAAGGCGGTGGATCGCAGGTGCTTCCACACCCATTACAGCGTAAACTCAGCAGCGCCCAGAAAAGAGAGCTAGCTGAGAGACATCACCAGTGAGTACCCCTGTGCCAGGCTGTGAATCTTAGGAGGGCCATGGCTGGAGCAAGTCATCCAGACAAAGGGGAAAGCCTGTGCTTGGCCCATTTCCTGAGCAGCAGGAAAAGAAGAGGAACAGAGCTGGAATAGGGTCAGCCAGAGGATCAGTAAGTAGTGGAACATGACATCAGAGAGGGCCCATAGGAGCAAGAAACACCTGAATAGAGTCAAATAGCACCAAAAATAGCCCAAGAATGGAGGCTGGAGAGCTGGCTCAGATGTTAAGAGCATTCATTGCTGACCTGGGTTCAGTTTCCAACACCCACAAGGTGGCCGAAAACCATCCATAACTCCAGTTTCAGAGGATTTGATGTTCTCTTCTGATCGCCACAGGTACCAGGCACTGCATATGGTATACAGAAAGAAAAACCACACAGATGTGTAAAATAAAATAAATCTTTAAAGAAAAGAGTTGGCGTCAGGCGGTGGTGGCGCACACCTTTAATCCCAGGACTCGGGGAGGCAGAGCCAGGTGGATTTTTGTGAGTTCGAGGCCAGCCTGGTTTACAGAGCGAGATCCAGGACAGGCTCCAAAGCTACACAGAGAAACCCTGTCTCAAAAAAAACCAAGCAAACAAAAAAAAGAAGAGTTGACAAATGGGATTATGTAAAGTTAAAAGGCTTCTGCATCAGCAGAATGAACAGATGTTCTGCATTGAGTAGAAGACGATTTTTGCCCGCTATACTTCAGATAAAGAGTTAATATCTAAAATATATAAAGAACTGCAAAAATTAAGTACCAGAAAACCTTGCCAATCAATAAATAGGCCAAATGATCCAAACAGGTAATTCTCAAAAAAATGAAAAGGAAATACAAATGGCTGATTTTTTTGTTGTTGTTTTTTGAGGCAGGGTTGCTCTGTGTAGCCTCGTTGTCCTGGAACTCACTTTGTAGACCAAACTAGCCTTGAACTCATAGAGATCCCCCTGCCTCTGCCTCCCGAGTGCTGGGACTAAAGGCTGGTTTGCTGCCATTAACTGGCCTCAGATGGCCAACAATTTGGTTTTTTTGGTTTCTTTTTTATTTATTTTTATTTTACATGCATTGGTGTTTTGCTTGCATGTATGTCTGTGTGAGGATTCTGGATCCCCTGGAACTGGAGTTACAGACAGTTGTGAGCTGCCATGTGGGTGCTGAGAATTGAACTTTTGGAAGTCTTTTGGGAGAGCGGTCAGTGCTCTTAACCACTGAGTCATCTCTCCAGCCCCTTGTTTTTGTTTTTTAAGACAGGGTTTCTCTGTGTAACAGCCCTGGCTGTCCTGAAAAATCTCTGTAGACCAGGTTGGCCTTGATACTGCCAAGTGCTGAGAATAAAGGTGTGTACCACCACACCCAGCTGCCATAAATACTTTTTAAAGTATTCAACATCCTTAGTCATCAGAGAAATGCAAATTAAACTCCTTTGAGGGCTGACAGGATGGATCTATAGGTAATGGCTGCCAACACTAACTAACACCCCGAGTGCAATACCCAGGGCCCACCTGGAAGAGAGAGAGAACCAACTCCTGCAATCCGTCTTCTAACCTATACACGCACTGCATTGTAGCATAAGCACCCCCACACACATACAAAAAATAAATAAATGTAAACTCTGAAGGACTAGGAACGTGGCTCCTTTGGGCAGGTTTCCCTAGCATGCACAAAGCCCTGGGTTCAACTCCTCAGGTCTGCTTAAACCAGCCATTGTGGCACACGGCTGTAACCCCAGCACGGAGTGGGTAGCAGTTCAAGATCATCTTTTTTTGTGTTTTTTTTTTTTTCAAGACAGGGTTTCTCTGTATAGCTTTGTGCCTTTTCCTGGAACTGGCTTTGGAGACCAGGCTGGCCTCGAACTCACAGAGATCCGCCTGGCTCTGCCTCCCGAGTACTGGGATTAAAGGCGTGTGCCACCGCCGACCGGCTCAAGAACATCTTTAGCTACAATGTGAGTTAGAGGCCAGCCCAGGCTACATGGGACCTTGTCTCAAAAAATCCAGATAAACTACTTTGAGATTCCATCTCACCCCAGCCAAAATCTCACCATCAAGAAAACAAATGCTAATGAGGAAGTGTGGAAAGAAGAACCTTTATTATTGCTAGGAGTGTAAACTGAAGTAGTCGCTATGGAAATCAGCAGAGGCTTCTCAAACACCTAAAAATAGAACTGCTGTATGATCTAGCACTCCTGAGCTTATTCCCAAGGGACTTTACAATCCTACTACAGAGATACCACAGATACCCCCTTTACTGTTCCAGGATAGTATATTGCATTGGATTGCCGATTTTGTTTGTTTTGTTTTTCGAGACAGGGCCTCACTATGAAGCCCTGGCTGTCCTGGAACTCACTTGGTAGCCCAGGCTGGCCTTGAACTCACAGAGATCCGCCTGCCTCTGCCTCCTGAGTGCTGGGATTAAAGGTGTGCGCCGCCGCCGCCGCCGCCGCCGCCGCCGCCGCCGCCGCCGCCGCCGCCGCCGCCGCCGCCACCACCACCCAACATACATCCTATTTGTTGCTGCTATATTCACAATGTCGAGGAAATGAAATCAGCCTAGAAGCTCAACACGTGGATAAGGAAAATTTGGTATATTTACACATTAGAATTTTATTCAGCTGTAAAGAGGAATGAAATTTGCAAGAAATATGGCACTGGAAAACATTAAGCCAGCCTATCTCAGACAAATACCACACGTTGACATTTATATATGAATCCTAGCTTTCATCGTTAAGTGTGTGTTTCTATGTTAGAGTAAATGCGGACAAAGGCCATAAAAGTGGAAAGGTGTCCATAAGACAGGGGATAAAAAGCTTTAAAGGCAGAGGGGGGGTGATAGAACACAGGAGATAGAAAAGTAGAAAGGGGGACTACTTGGGGTAAAAGGGTACAGTGAAAAGGAGGGGCAACAAGATGCAAGAGGGGCTGGAACTCTGGTAATCAACCCAAACTAAACATGTATGAAAATACCACAAGCAAACCTGTTACTTTGTAAGCTAATTTTCAAAGGTGGTGGGGTGGCCAAAGAGAGGACTTGGACTTTTTCTCTGACACAGAGCCACTCAGGGCAGGGCTATGTGCACAGGGTGGGCATGGATCGTTTAGGTCGGAACAGGATTCCTCTGGCTGCTGTGGTAGTGGTTACCCAACTTTTTTTTTTTTTTTTTTTTGGATGAAAACTCAGAACTGGTCTAGTTGCAGTAGCACACATCTGTGGTTCTAGCCAGTCAGGAGGCCACAGCGGAATGATGACATCAGTACATGTTACATAGTGAGAGCCTGTCTGAAAAAAATAAGCACAAAATCATGAACACAAAAACACCAAGAGGTCTGGGGATGTTGCTCAGTTGATAGAATGTTGTCGAACATGCATGAAGCCTAGATTCAATCTCCAGCATGGCATGAACTCAGCATAGTGGCACACACCTCTGGAATCTCAGCACTTGGAAGTGCAAGCAGAAGTCTATGGGCAGCCTGGACTGTAAGTGACACTATCTTTAATGTATATGACATTCACTGTATA